CCGCAGGCCTCGTGATCCCGCAAGAAGAATACAGAGCACCGGATCCCCCCGCGCGCGTTTACTAGTTAATTAGCGCGCGCGCGCGCGAGGTCCCGACAATTAAGCGTAATTGGGCTAACCGATCTTATTACGGTCGATCGGCGTTTTTACGCGGCGAGATCTCTCGATCGGTCGGACACTTGCACGCTCGGCACAACAAAGAAAGCAGAACAACACTTTCGTCAAGGTAGATTCCCGATCTCACGGAGCCGCGACTAATTGCGAATTATGGCGGGGTGAGGATGGAAAAGAGGAGGACGCCGGAATCTCGCCGGTTCGAACGGTTCCTCGCGCGAATCGCCTCGCGCGTCGCGCATCGGTTCGCATCCTGCGGGTATGGCTCGGGTGCAAGGTACTTTGCACCGGGCCGTTGCACGATCCACCATCGGCCGGGCTGCGCGCCGATGCATCGTTAGATATCATATTCGAGATGAACGAACTCCATATGTACTCGGAAATGTTTCTCTGATACAATTATCCCGTGGAACGTGTTACTCGAGTTCAGCTGATTTGCTGCTCATTACCGGATCGCGGGGTATTTATGGAGAATAATTTGTTGGCACCTGGAGGCGGATTGAACAGTTACCTATTACCTGGGATGAAAGTTCTGTCTCGACTAGCATATTCGCTCCGAGAATAATTTCGCGGAAGATTCTTCCACGGTTTTCGCGTACGTATTTTTTCTTCTTTTGTTATTTAATTCGAGCGTTTCTCCATTCGTAATCTCAAGAAATACGTTGAAATATTAACAAATGTTAATTTATTAATACGAACGTAACGATTATTAAATGTTTCATTAGAGAAATGGATATCTTTGAATATTATTTTTATTAACTTAGTATCGTTGAGAATTTTTTAGTATTATTAAACTTAGAAATTTCTTCGAGCAATGTTCCACTGGAACAGGCATTTGTAAAATATGTACGATAAATGTTCGCAAGAGGAAGTTAGTTTAGAGCATTTATTTATTAGGAAAGGTTCCAAAGATTTCAAAGAATTCTTATTTTTCTCCTTTACGAATATTTTTTTTAACTCATCGAGACGCGGAATAAATTTTTATTCGAGACACGTTTAATATAGAGGCTGTACTATTTTGATCGCTTTCAACCCTTTGCACTCGAAGCTATTTGAATTTGAAATCCAAAACGTGATTTCTGATCTACGGTAATTCTACTTTATATAATTTATTGCGATTTGTGCACATGAAATCGAGCCTTTTAGCAAGTACAATGCAATTTTAACGTGTCTGATGCTCTCTTGCAATGATCATGAAAAATAGTATAGCAAATTAGTATAGCAAATTAGTACAGTAATTAAATAAATATAATTATATAAATATAGTAACTAAATAAATATAGTAAATTAGTATAATAGTATAGCAAATAGTAATAGCAAATAGTATAGCTCAGAGTCGCCTCTCGAATGCAAAGGGTTAAAAGAAGCTGCGATTGAAACCGAGGGGAACGTTTTCTTAATGCATTGCATTCTCGTTATTTGCTCAAGAGAACTTTGTTAAATTTGAACTTGTCGTCAACTATTATTTACTGCGAAATAGATTACAAAATTCAACGAACAGCAATAAATGGCAAATGGTTAAAAAAGAAGCTGCGATTGAAACCGAGGGGAACGTTTTCCTAATGCATTGCATCCTCATTATTTACTCAAGAGAACTTTGTGTTAACTTTCAACTTGTCGTCAACTACTATTTACTGTGAAATAAATTGCAAAGTTCAATTAATAGCAATAAATAGCAAATGGTTAAGTATCGTATACAGTTCCACCACAAATCCAGCAGGGTTGTGTCAACAGTTTGGGTCCATTTTAACCCAGCTTCTCTGTATCGAAATCACGGCCTGCTCTCCGACGACAAATTCGAACAGGAATTACATTAATGTTTCTTCACCGAGCGAAACGAATTACCGAACACGGGAAGAATGCGAGTCCGGGAGAAATTGCAAACGAAGACTAGAGAATGGATCTGGAGATGATCGCCAGAAGGCCGTCGAAATCGCCCACCTTCCGCGATTTAATGAAACGGGCGGGATAGCTCGATAGTGGACGATCGTGTTTTTCAATTCCCCGGGCTCATTAACGTGTGTCGGGAGGGCACGGCGGAGCGAGATTGCACCGGAGGACAGCGTTGCAACGATGCAGGTCTCTTTGGCCGGGACAATTCTAGCTAGCGGCAGGTGGCTGACCGGTCGCTGGAGGGGCCACGGGGCTCGAATATGCAACCGACAGAGCCTGCCGGCGGCGATTCCGCCGGCAAAAACGATCGAATCGAGCTGAAACCAGTCGATCGTAACGAGATAATCGTTAAACATCGGGCCGGATTGCATCTAACGCGAAGAGCGGGCTGAAGAAAAAAAAACAAAAAAAGAAAAAACGCGCGCGGAACTCTCGATCGTCCGCGCACAGAGTCGCGCGCAGGTGTTCGCGTGTTTAGGATTATAGGGTGGGACCGTTTTTACGACGATGGAAAATAAACAGCGGCGGGGCTCTTGTACGACGATACAGTGATTCGCGGGACTGTTTATTAATCGACCGGAATGGAATTATCGACTGCCGTTCGCGACCGAACAAGTGCCGTTTAAACGACGGAAACGGACATTAAATTCGCCGGCCAATCAGAGTAAAACGATGCCCGGTCGGTCGTCCACGGAGATACCTACTCCTTTTCTTTCCGTTATCGATGCGACGTCTTTCTTTCACGCGCGTTTTTGCTTCGTATTTTCACTTACACGTGAAAGTCACCTAATTAGATTAAATGCTCAGATAGCGCGACGGTCTCGTGGACGTCTGTTTTTCGGCGTTCATCTTGAAGACGTTCGCAACGTCCTACAAACGACTTCCGAACGTCCTAAAAACGTCCAGGAGACGTCTGCGCGTCTCGAAGACGAGTTATTCTCGTCCTTGCGAGAATCAATTATAACGAAGTATTTTTGAGATAGATTTCAAATGTGTTTCTGAAACATCGTTTGCAACGATTGTACGAACGTGAACGGATAAATTACGTGAATTAAATTTTAATTGGTTCGCTGTTTTTCGAAAGATCCGAAGAAAGCAATTAGCAACGTTTACGATATCTAACTATGAGATTAATATAAATCGCCCACGCTTGCGATTCGCTCATAAGTCACGCGAAAGAAACGAAAACGAACTGCCATAGTTGAAAGTGAGGAAGATGAGACGAGCATAATATCCGGCCGCCAGTTATAACAAAATGATGAAGCGTCCACGAGCAATGAAAGTAGAAGTGTATAATGAACGTGATACGCTCAGATGTTGCATTCGTGCAATAAGATACGATCGCTTTAAATGTTTGAAATAGATAAAACGAGGCGGGAATATGAGGGATGGAACTTTTTCACACGGTTCCGAGAAGAATTGAAAGCTTTATCTCGATCAAATCGTACCTGCTTGATCATCTGAATGAATAGATGGCAATTAAAAAGGGGCAGAAATTGAAAGATGATCGAGCTTATTGCAATTAATTGACAGGGAATTTAACGTAACAGTTAACATTGACGAGTTGAGTTCAGCGTCGCACGCGCGTAACACTTTCTTGATAAGCTTTTGGAACACATTTTTATTGTAATATATTTGAACAAAATGAATTTTACTTGGACTTTTAGAGTGCAAAAGTTAAAGTACCATCCATTTTCTGCGAAATCTTACATCTTACAACAAAAATATTTTTCCCACGATTTATAATTTATTATATTCATTATATTCATTATAATTATAATTCATTATAGTTTATCATACTCATTATAAATTATAATTCATTATAGTTTATTATACTCATTATAATTATAATTCATTATATTCATTATAATTATAATTCATTATATTCATTATAATTATAATTCATTATATATTCATTATAATTATAATTCATTATATTCATTATAATTATAATTTATTATATTCATTATAATTATAATTCATTATATTCATTATAATTATAATTCATTATATTCATTATAATTATAATTCATTATATATTCATTATAATTATAATTCATTATATTCATTATAATTATAATTCATTATAATTCATTCATGTTCATAAATTTCGCACATTTTCGAATAATTCTAGAACAACTTGCCGATCGATAAAAAACACATACAAAATTGATCTTAAAAACAGATCGACGCAGCTAAATGATTAATTGAACTACTTTGATTTTGCAAAAATGTTGGAGGTTGATTTTCGGCACTCAATAATGCATCCTCTGGACACCGAGGTACCACTAAAAATAATTTAAAAACAGTCTTATCCCAAACTAATTTTTACATCATCAAATTCGTTAACATTCCAAAGCCTCTTAAAAGTGCAAGTATTCCATGAACCACAAGATAGAATTTCATATTACATAAAATACACTAAATCATATAAGATAGAAATATCGTAGATAAGAAAAAAACCATTTTGCATTTGAAGTTAAAATGTCTTCGAGTTCAAAGGGTCACGATCCACAAAACAATTAAAATATAGACTCCTCGAAAAACAGGTTGCAAAAACTAACAAATAAAACTATATAAACGACCCTGATCATCATGCTCGTTCGTATTATTCTCACGAAGGTCCGACGTTCCCGATCGGAAAGAAAACGAAACGTTCCGATGTCCGACGTGCGATTAGTCCGGACAACGGTCCGGTTCGCCGCGCTCCGTCGGAGGCGTGAAATGTTTCGGGAAACGACTCGCGATATTGAACTTAAAAAAAAAAAGGAAAAAAAAACGGTACCCGAGCGGAATTACCGCGCCGCAAACGATTCTATCGCACGCACGTGGCGCCGCGGGTTCGTTACGCGTTCGCACAATGCTCGCCGGCTAATTTTTTTTCCTTTCGGCCGGGATCGAGATAAGAGAGGTGTTGCTCGTTAGTCGTGGCAATTACGCCCGCGTAATCCCGCCGCAGAACGGTACATCTGTGTCCGATCGTTCAACATTACCAGATTCAGCTTGCCCATCTTCTCCAGCACGGTGTCCATCTTGCGGCGTCGACGCTCGCGGCGAGCCCCTCGACGTAAAGAAAATCCTCGACGAACGTGAATTCAGCGAACGAACCGGTCGCCGATAGCCGGATACTCGCGATCGAACTTCGTCCGGGATCGATCCAGACGCGTTTCCCTCGATCACACGGAGGTTATTCCACGCCACCGCGAATAGTCCGTCAGAGGATCGGTGGTCGCGTTTTCATGAATCTCGCCGGGATCCGATCTCATTTAACGGTGAAATCGTTCTCTACGGCCTCGCGGGATCGTTGACAGGTGCGAGAGGTTCCATGGGAGATGTCACTGAGATCCGGGCCCTCGTAGCGTCGCACGATTCCCCGGTGAAACTTTTGTCATCGTTTCCTAGCACCGCGAACTTGTCTATGCGTCGACGGAATCGTTTGTTTCGGAGAGCCGTTCCTCGGGTTTCGTCCGCTTGTCACAACATTGCACACAATTCGAAGACGATCGAGGACGTCTATCGATCCTGCGCCCGATTCGAATTGATCCTCGACATTTTTCTTTTTCTCTTTTCGGCAAATCGTTCGTTGCCCGCGGAAATATAACGAAGAAGAGCGATCCGGGTGCTGCGGTTCGCGAGCCGATCGTGGAACGCGAGAGGATCGCGGCTACGGAACCTTCTTGCTCGCGATTGTAGGTTGAACTGCCAGGTGAAAACACAACACCTCTCAACCTGCACAGGTGCACACAGAGGCCTCCCGACGGGCCCGTGGTAGGAAGGGGGGCCTACTTGTACTCTGGGGGGACTCTGTTCAACACGGATACCTTAATCTTTTCGTGTTCATCTGACGAATATCGGTTGCCGTTTAATGCTCGCGAAGAAACATCGCCGGAAGCGAACTGGTTTCGGATATTGCCGCGGAAGGAGAAGAAAAAAATAAGGCGATCGATAGCGACGCGCGGCGGAACGCCGATTATGCCGATAAATCGGTAATCACACGCCGGTCATCGATTATACCGGACAAAGGGCTCGCGTAACCGACGTTCGCCGCCGCGTTTGTCCTTTTGCTGGATTCTACGCGCGCGGTTACAGAGATAATTGAAAAGATGAACTATTAAGGTGTAGGATGGTGGAGCCGATCACTGTGGGATCACCGATTGCCGCGACTTCGGCTCGTTCGCGGGCGTAATGAATTTTATAATTAACCGAACAGGATGTATTCAATATTAAAAGTATTTTATCTTTGAATAAATTAATTAATCGCGGCATACAAAATGTTCAATTAATGACAAATGCGTTAATTATACCAAAGGCACAATAATTGGTCGTCTCACGGTAACCGGCTCCACTATCCTACTGAAACATACATAAAATGTTCTTAAACATTCTTTGAATGTTCTTTAAACTGTGGATATCCGAATTTGTGAGAAACTAAAATGTATTGTTTATGAAATGAATGTAATATTAAGTTTTACGTAGAAAATAAGTATAACGTGTATGGGGCACGTTTTTATTGTGAAATATTTGATAGTTACATATAGATATAATTAAATTTACCAAAAAAAGAAAACGCATTAATGAGCAATAATATTTAAGGGTTAAATTTCTATTATTTTCCAAGGTTTTGTTTATTTAATCGTTATATCATTGAAACGTATTTCTGAGATAAATTGGTATTTGCTTATTTTCTGACCAATTGCATATCGCGGAGTTATGATTTTTTATTTTAGCTATTTAATAAATTATTTTATCAGTAGACAGTGTCGTTTTCGGTTACGATATTTGAATATCGTATATATTCTTGAGAATGTAAAAACTAATGTTTATTTATCGAATATTTTTTGTCACAATTAAAATTCCATTTGGGATCACGTGGGCCCGGGAACCACAGGGTTAACGTTCAGGCTACGGAAGTTTATGCAAATTTGCATTCATGGAATTCGAATCGAAGCGAGAAAGTGGAAAAAACCTGACTGAATTTCTTTTATCTCTAAAAACTGTTACATTAAAATGCATCGATACGTGTCGAAGGTGTGACCCCCCCCCCCCATCACCCCTCCCTAGAATGATCGGTCAATTAAAAATCAAAATTTCGAAAATATTTTATCTTTTAATTCGATCATCTTTCAACAAACGATTTTCGTTCATTACAACAGAGACAGAACATTGCAATACCGCTGAATTTAATAATTCAATTTAATAATTAAATTTACTTTATAACTACAACAAATGTGAAAAACGTGTAATAAGTCGATGCAGCAGTTCTGTATCGTCCGAATCACAAACAAAAATGCGTGTATCGTATTTCGTGCTTTATAAATTGCTTACGATTTTTCAAACTGTCGATAGCTACGAGAAACAATGGCGTGTGCATCGATCGTAGCGATGACAACGGGAAATCAAGCAATGCGACAAATAGCAACTGCACTACTTGTCGCAAGAAACCGTCGATCACGGTGAAAGCTGGCGGCTATTAATCAAAAACGCGATACCGCGACGAATCGCCGGTAATTACGAAGACCGATCGGACAGCTTGGCGGGCATAATAATTACCGCAGTTTATACAACGTCGAAGACAGGCCTTTTTACAATAGAAATCGCGGTCTTCTATTCGGAATCACGGGGCAAATCGATTGCTCCGCACGCGAGGCGGTATATCGAATTTTGTAATAAAATTCGAATCTAATGACTCATCGGATTCGAGTTTCTACTCTGATTACCGGCGGATTACGTCGCCCGAGTTTCAGCACCGCGAAAAAAGTCCGCGAGAGCCTGATGTATGCGCGACGTGCGCACGTACGAATATATTCGAGAGGAAGAGAGGAAGGGGGGGAGAGAAAAAGGAGCGCTGTAAGTTTCTTCTGTATGATCAAGTCGGGATGGGCGACCCAAATTCTGCGGGAAGCAGATTTTTTTCCAGCGTTTTGCCGCGCAAACAGAGAATATTTATACGCGAGACACCGGCGTATACAAGTACAGTGACTGCAGAAAGTCTTTTCCCGTGCTCTTCGACTTTTCGCAAAATCTCGATATTTCAACTATCATAATTCTGTAATAATTAACCGTGCAACGAGAAACCTAAATTAGTCGAATGCTTGGTGCTCGCATCTTTTTTTTCCTAAAATATTTTTACACGATGTTTCGATGATCGCTCGAAAATGAAACAGATTGAAACGTCTGCGAAAATATTGCAAAATTCTTTCCACGAGACGAATCTACCGTGTGCTGGTAAATTGAAACTTTCCCCTTTAAAACGAGCCGTCAAAATTTGATGTACGATCCTTTTTAGTCGTTCTGTAAAACGAGGAACGAGTTCGATCGTGCAAAATCTTCGTGCGCCTTTCATTCGAAGCTCAATGAAGCGACTGAAAAAGGTCGTACATCGAAGTTCAAGGAGTTGTTGTAAAGGTAAGGCTTCAATCTTTATATGTTTGTTGAGATTCAGGATGAAAAAATGTACGAGTGTGTTGTGCGACGTTTTCTTTCCGAAATATCTTCAAGAAAGAAGATGCTTACTATATTATGCAAAAATATGTTGTATGATGCACACTAAATATATATACTATAGTATATGTACTATATACTCTTATCTTTATACTAAATATATACATATACTATGCTATACTATATATATACATACATATCCTATACTGTAGATTATATATATATATATATATACTAAATACTAAATATATATACTATATTATATCATAGATTATACTAAATACTAAATATATATACTATACTATACCATAGATTATACTAAATACTAAATATATATACTATACTATACATTATACATTAAATACTAAATATATATACTGTACTATACTATACATTATACATTAAATACTAAATACATATACTATACTGTACTATACATTATACTAAATACTAAATATATATACTATACTATAGATTATACTAAATACTAAATATATATACTATACTATACATAATACACTAAATACTAAATATATATACTGTACTATACTATACCTGTCTCTTATACACATCTAGATGTGTATAAGAGACAGACTAAATACTAAATATATATACTATACTATACATAATACACTAAATACTAAATATATATACTGTACTATACTATACCTGTCTCTTATACACATCTAGATGTGTATAAGAGACAGACTAAATACTAAATATATATACTATACTATACATAATACACTAAATACTAAATATATATACTGTACTATACTATACCTGTCTCTTATACACATCTAGATGTGTATAAGAGACAGACTAAATACTAAATATATATACTATACTATACATAATACACTAAATACTAAATATATATACTGTACTATACTATACCTGTCTCTTATACACATCTAGATGTGTATAAGAGACAGACTAAATACTAAATATATATACTATACTATACATAATACACTAAATACTAAATATATATACTGTACTATACTATACCTGTCTCTTATACACATCTAGATGTGTATAAGAGACAGACTAAATACTAAATATATATACTATACTATACATAATACACTAAATACTAAATATATATACTGTACTATACTATACCTGTCTCTTATACACATCTAGATGTGTATAAGAGACAGTATATATACTATACTATAGATTATACTAAATACTAAATATATATATACTATACTATAGATTATACTAAATACTAAATATATATACCATACTATACTATACACTATATTATGCACAGCAAAAACAGAAGTTTCAAGCTCCACAAAGTATCCCGGTTTATTCTTGTCCAACTCACTCTCACAAAATTATGACAATTCCGATATCAACAATGTGCCGCAAAACGAAAATTTTGTACACGAATACTTTCTTATATGGGGCCACTGTAATATTGTCGGCGAAGGCGAACTGCAGCCGAAGTAAAATATTTTACGAGCCGTTAAACGTATCCGCTTAAAGATTGCTCGCGCGTGGAAGCGACAGCTCGCAGGTAACCAAACGGGGAAATAGAGAATTCGGCTCCAAGTAAAATACCGTCGGCGTAATTGCTAACTCTTTCGCTTTCGTGCATCGGCGAGCGTACTTCTTCGGCAGTAAATCCGCCGCGGGCCAAGGGAAATCGGGCCAGCGGGCCCAGAATCTCCACGCGAGAGGAAAGCTGCGCGAGGGAAGAATGCGTAATTTTGGGCCTGCTTCCGAGAAACAAAAACGCCTGAGAAGTAGCCGAATCTAGTACGCGAAATCTGTCCTCCCTTCAAAACTCGGGCTCCTGGCGGAATTACATTTTAACGAGTCCGAGAACGTTATTCATGGAACTAATGTAACAAGCGGGTCGGCTACAGGTCGGCCATAAGTACGATACGAGTAGGCTACAAATAGGTTACAAGTAGGCTACAAATAGGCTATAGTTTGACAAAATGTTCGACACGGTTTTTACCGTTCGCGAACAAAATAGTGTTTAACAAAATTTAGAAATGATATTTAGTGAATTTTCCTCAATTTTCCTTTCGTATTTTCCCTAAATAACCTTGCAAACAAAAATGGACAATTCGGGAAGAGGAGATACGATTATATTCGAGCCTGGCGGCTCGTTTTTTGCAGTCGCGGATCGTCGACAACTGTAAAATCGTGTCGCGAGGCCCGAATACAGTAAATACTCTCCAATTGTCCCTCAACATTGTAAATAAAAACGGAGAATTTTGGAAGA